GGGAACATCCCTTTTTAGCAAGAAGTATTGAGAAAATCTAAAAGAACTCTCCCTCCTATTCACTGGGTCACTTTTCAGCGCTGTATCACTGTTTACAGAAAAGTTAACTTCTTGGACTAGTAAAGCAATGTTTTCACATATTCTAGGTCTGCTGACCTAATATGAAACCACATCTTCTTGCTCTGATTAGCAACAAGTGGGATCCCACTGTCCTCCCAGTCTATGTACGGCAGCGTTCCCTCTGTCAGGTCTCTCTGTAACAATGTGCAGCTGCAGTCATCACAAAATGCAGACAGACTTTTCACTCATTGATTACAACTGGCGGCCAACCTCTGAAGAGCTGGAGGAACACCAGTGACTGAGACCACTCGCTTAGAAAATTATCAAAGAGATGTTTCAGAAATAATTCCTATACTCGGTAGCAGGTGAGTAGTCTCCAAAATGTAGTCAGCTCTCAGTCTCTGAAGGTACTGTTTCAACTACAGTCACCTCTGTTGTTATCTGTTTAGCTATTATTAGTCATTTTTGATATAACTCTCATGTGTCACTTTTCTCCGAGCATGAAGGTTTTCAGAGTATGAAGAACAGGAAGCTGGAAATGGCCAAAGGCAATCTCGTATTTTCTTCTGGACCTTCAGTCTTCCAAGCCTGACATAGAAAAGTGAGCACAGCTTGGGTCAGCTGAAGGCAGAATGCTGGGACTGCCTCTCCTCTCGCTAAATTTTTCAAACCCTGCCCAACTCCCACTGACCATTCCCTGTAGCCTTTTTTGCCAGGACCCTAAACCCTCAGTCTCAGCTCTGCCTTACATCCATTTTAAGTAAAAGCAGAAAGAAGGAAAATGATGAAAAATAGTATATGCTTGTAAAAACTCCTGCAGTAGCAGCTAGAATGATGAGTTCATACACTCACTGTGGCCAGTCAGGTTTTTTTCTCTCTTTCTCACACATAGAAGAGCTTTTCTTGTTGCAATCTTTGGATTTCCTGGATCCTCTGGGTGTGGGGTTAAGGCTGAGATGATCTGGTACGATAACAGCACCCCCAGGCTTCAGGGAGCTGCCAGCGGAGCCTACGAAAGACCTACAGGTGTGTGAATTGTGGGACATGTAGAGCTGTGAGAAACTTGGGGACACACATCACTTCCTGTTACAGACGAGGGAGACTAGATGGGGGGAGCGTAGTGAGGTGGTTAGCAGTAGATTCTAGAAAACTCACTGGGGTGGCCTTGGGCTCTTTCCAATACAAATAGGACATGAAGCTCTTGAAGGCCCTCACTTTGCTAAAGAGTTTTAAACACTTTTGTATGTTGTAATGTGTTTAGAAAAGGGAACACAATATTTGTGTTATTTGTGTAAATAGACTATTTAGTAGTGAAATATGCTTGTATGAGAATTTTTTATTTTTAGTATGTCTTTAGGTTGTCTATTAGCATTTTCACTTAATACGTGAGAACAAAACAATGGGAATCCTCATGCCATCTCTTTTTCTTCCACATCTAACGCTTTTCCAACTGTCTTCTCCTTGTGCTATGGACTGAATTATGTCCCCATCATAATTCCTGTGTTGAAGCCCTAGCCCCAGACTAGATGGCACTTGGAGATGGGGCCTGTGGGAAATAATTAGGCTTGAATGAGGTCATGAGAGTGGGCCTTTCGTGATACAGCCAGTGCCCTTATAAGAAGAGACATGAGAGAGTTTTTGATCTCTTTCTTTCTGCCATGTGAGGATGAAGCAAGAAAATGGCTAGGAAGACAGTCATCACCAGAACCTGACCATCCTGACACCCTGATCTGAGACTTCCAGCCCTCAGAACTACAAACATAAATGTTTCTGGTTTAAGTCACCCCCTGTGTGGTATTTTGTGATAGCAGCCCGAGCTGCCTAGACACCTGCTTCTCCTTCTCTCATTTTCTTTCTACCTTCTCCCTGTATTACTCTCTTCCAGATGGAGGATGTGGTCCTAGTGACCGTGACTGCCTGTGCAATGCCACCTCACTGCATTTTTGCTGCTGTATCCTTAGAGCTGGGTGAACAAAGTATTTTATCTATACTGCATTGTCTAAAAACTTTTTGACCAGTTGGGACCAGGGGTGGCACTAAACTCTCTTCATTGTACAAAGTTGTTGAGGATAACTCATTCTAAAAGCAGATGAAAAACTGGGGAGAGAATACATGGAAGAAGTTAAAGAGGAAGATGTCAGACAGGCACAGTGAGGCTCCACTGCACCCACCTCTAGCCCTGCCCCTGGGGAGGTCCTGCACCCCCGCTGCTCACTCCTCCTCTCCTCAGCATCTTCCCTGGTCACTTTGTGGCCATTTCCCTTCTCCCACTCCTGATAAAACTCTCTTTAACCTATCTGAATCAGTTTCTTATGCATTTTAAGAAGTAGCTTAGGGACTGAGAGAGACGTTACTGTCAGTCACAGATACAAAAGTCTGCTACCTGGATAACTACACACCTGCTTAAGATGGGGCAGCTTTGCTGCGTAGTGCATTCAGGAAAGAAATCACCCACTCCTCAGCAAACACAATTAATTGGCAGTCATCACTTTTTGCCAAACTTTGATTTACATGACTCCACCCTCTGGGGTAACAGAAAAATGATCTGTATGCCAATGGTTGAGGACCAGAGATCCTCCCTCTCAAATAATATCTGTGCAGATTAACTAGAGCCATCTCCAGGTAACACATCCACCTGGGTTTCAGAGATTGCTCATCTGGAAGGAAATGCTAGCTCAGCATTATCCAACAGAAATATAATGGAAGTCATAAATGTAAGCTATGCATTTAAAATTTTTTAGGAACCACATTTCTTAAAACATAAAAAGAAGTCAGCGAAATTATTTTAAAAATACATTTTCTTTAACACAAATATTCAAATATTATCATTTTAATGCATAAGCAATATAGAAAATGTGAAATATTTAACATTTTTTTAAACTGAATCTTCCAGTCAAATGTGTATTTTACATTAAAGCACATCTCTCTTCAGATTAGCCACATTCCAGTGCTTAATGGTCACATGTCACCAGTGACTACTGTATTGGACAGTACAGCTCCGGTCAAATGAAAGGAAAGGTGAGACCCTGGCACATCAGCAGATGAGGAAGGCCTCCTGCCATATGGACTCCCTCTCCTGGGGTGGAAAGCACAGGCTTGTCACAGAGGCAATAAACTAAATGCTCTTTTGAAATTTGAGATTTTTTTTCATTGCTTGTTAACTTATGAAAGGTACTCAAACCAACATCTTTCTTTCTTTCTTTCTTTTTTTGGAGATGGAGTCTCACTCCGTCGCCCAGGCTGGAATGCAGTGGTGCAATCTTGGCTCACTGCATCCTCCAGTTCCCGGGTTCAAGTGATTCTCAAGCCTCAGTCCCCTGAGTAGCTGGGATTACAGGTGCACACCACCACTCCCAGCTAATTTTTGTATTTTTAGTAGAGATGAGGTTTCACCATGTTGACCAGGCTGGACTCGTGACCTCAAGTGATCCACCTGCTTTAGCCTCCCAAAGTGCTGGAATTACAGGTGTGATCCACTGTGCCTGTCCTTCAGACCGGTCAGAATAATGGAGAATGGGCGATCTTAAATATTATTGTTATAATTTTAAATACTCTAACAGAAATTCAGCAAAAATTTCCCCATGGATTATTAAACCTTACTAACGTACTAATAATTTCTAAGAGCAGAGAATAGCCTTATGTCTCCTCTGATCACTTTTGCAAAGCCAAAAACACCCTGCCCACTGTGCAATGTGTTGCCAAAGATTTTATCCCCGATCCCTTGGGAATGTGATAACTGCTAATAATTTTATTTGCCGAGAAATGGTTGATTTTTTTTTTCCTGCATGCATTACTACAGCAAAGCTGGCCCATTTTTAGCAAGTGTGTAGGTACCCAATAGTAGCAGGTCTTCATATCTGAGACTGACATCAATGTTTCTCTCAGGTGAAGCTGTGAGATTTGTTTTCACTCAGGATTTCATAAATAGGGGACCTCAATTATAACAATCCACCACGGAGACCACACGTCAGGTTCATTCATATATGCCATTAACTCCATTAATTCTGAGATGATACCCAAGCCCTTGACATCTCTTACTACTTACACCTAAGTCTGCCTTTTATATAGCTCAGAGACATTTAATGCTGGAAATTTCAAGAGTGGTAGGGTACTGCTAAAGGCTAGTAAGATGGACTTGAATTTAAGGAGCCCATTTTTTGATGGGCTATAGAGGTGTTTTCAAGGACTCTTAACGACCACTCATCTTTTATCTCTTTGTTGGAGTCTCTCTCTCCTTACTTACTCAGGCCTTATCCTTATCTGAGGGGTTAACTGATAGAAATTGGTAAAGGATAAGGTTTCTTGTGATTTAATTAAGAAGTGCCAAGAAGCCTTCAGGCCTTAAAGAAATGAACCTGTATGGGAAATACCATGATAATAGAGTTTTCCTGGAGCACCTCAAATTGCACCCTTGCCGACTGGACTCGAAAGCTGACTTGGGTTTAGAAACTAGTCTTTCCTCTTTATTACTTTCCCCAAAAAGAGCAATGGCAACCTTTTCATTTTTTTAAATTTTCACTTGAATTAAAATTCAAATCAAAGCTTAATTCTACTTTGATCATAGCTCTTGTGAAAGATTCTTAGGGAAAAGAACAACATGAAAGTTGGGATGGCTGTTGCTTGTAGATTGGATTTTCATGGCTGAATCATTCCTATGGTTAATTCAAAGTTAAATGCATATAAAAACGAGTTGGCAAGGGCTGATTCTGTACATTCTCAAGAGGCTCCCAAGTCTTGTTTTGTTTCTTTTTTCATGAGCACCCAGAATCTTTCCTCTCACTGGATACAGGTTTTATTCTCAGGGTATCTAACCAGATGATGCAACATCTGTGCTGTCTTTTAAGAACGTGAGAAATTAAGCTTTTTTCATTTTTCCTCTTTTTGCTTTCTGGGAAATCTAATCAAAACTGCTCAGACTTCCCTTTTCTTGTTTGCTTTAGAAGACAGCTTGCTGGAAGAGATCTGTGGAGGTCTCCTACCTGTGGAGAAAAGTGATAGAAAAATCAGCCTGATTATGGAACTGTCGACCCAGGTTTCCCTTCAGACCGAGAGGATCACTCAGCTTCAAGAAATTTTGGAGGAAAAGGAAAGGAAGATTCAGCAGCTGGAAGCTGAGTGGAGTGCCCAACCTTCCCAAGAGGTCAAGGACCCTCCAGAGTGTTTACAAAAAGCCCCAGTTTTCTCTTTTGATGACGTCCCTCTTGTGATCTCTGATGAGAATTTGTAAAGATTCCCAGTAAGAAAACAATAAAAGTTTTTTAAGTGTCATCCAGGTACAGTCAGATCCCACCAATCCCAAGCAGTCTCCCAGGTGACAAACTCAAGTTCAAGTCCATGGGTTTGAATGTATACTATAATGTTCATTTTGGAAGGAAACAAAATAAAGGAAATGTTCAGGAGGACACGCTGCATGTTTCCCCTTCAGACAGCAGTAGTCACGTAAACCACGCAGCTGTAGACTACTGTGTTTTTAGATATTCCTGGTAGGAGTGGGGGGAGGGAAGAAAACAATATCAGACAGATGGTGAAAGAACTTAGCATTATCCTCTTACCAGAGATCTGTCACACTGCAAGGGAGGGGTGGCACCGACCAGTTTAGTATGCAGCTCTGTTGTGAAAAGGAAACTGTCATGGAGGGCAAGCTTCAAACCCGTGAATGTTGGGGTACTGAAGAGCAGGAGCCGCCAGCAGAGTAAATAGCCATGAGGTCTGTCCTCTCATGTCCTCAAGAGTTTATTTCTTTATGGCATGCATTTTATTAACATTAGCAAGGATAGAAAGGAAATAAAACTAAAGCAATAAAAACAATTAAAAATGGGTGAATCAGAGCTGCGGTCCTTTGGGAAAAGTGTCCTGGTTCAGTATCTCCCCGGGAAAACACACAACACTGATTTTTCCCTTAGGAAAAAGACTAAAACCAAAGCAAAATACAATCTTCTATTATGATTTTACCAATGAGCTGTGAACAGTGCAAAATACTGGTAGGAATAATGGACAATAGGCAAAGGAAAGCTGCCCTATAATTAATGGAATAAAAGAAATCAGATCATATTTCTCTTCCACTCAACCCCCTTAAATAAACTATTTCCCACTAAAGGGAGCAGTTAGGTACTAACTGTGAAGAAGACCTTGGTCCTTAATTCTTACTGTTCTGGTACAGCATCACTCAGGCAAACAGCTCTAGAGAGCTCTCTCAAGAGTATGACTGTAATGCTAGTTTTCCATTTAATTCAACCGGTTCAACAAATGCTCATCAAATACTCTTCTATCTGGAAGACACAATAATAGATGCTAGAAATCACAGCAAACATGAGAATCACTATTTTCACCATCCGGAAGTTCATAAATACACAGGATCTCCTTAAAAGTAAGCCTGATTGTATTGAGAGGTGGGAAACTGGAGAAGGGAAGTGGGTGAACACGGGGTAAACCTGATCAGCATTGCTTCAGCAGAGGTTCTCAGATATACTCAGCATGAGTAATCAGCAAGAATGTACATTCCTGGCCTCTGGTTTAGGGCCTAGGAAGATGCATTTTAACAAACACATGTGGCGTTTCTGATGAACATATTCCAGAAACTACATTTGAGGCCACATTGGTTTAGGGATGGCTTCAAGCAGTTCTATTAGACTTTTGCTCCCAGACTAATAGAGAATCCCCAGAAGGAGAATTTCTCCTTGCAGTCTGGGTTGAGTCTTATACACTATTTAACTATTGCATAATCTTATTATGGATCCCGACTATCTACAAAACACTGTTTCCAAATGTGATTTTTTTTTAAAACAAAAAGGAATTAATTGAGTTCCTGACTCACATAAGATGACTTATCGATATTGACTCCAGAGGTTCACTACCCCCTAACAATAAAAACGCAAAAAACAAAAATCATGGATCCCATCGGTAGCCTCTCTTTTCAACCAGAGCTCGATTTTTCCCACAGTATTTAACCTCAGTTTTGCCTGCAATGGCTACAAGTATTCACAGGTGCAGCTCTATATCAGAAATGAAACTAAATCGCTGATCATGAATATACACTACTCCAGAAAGTAGTTAAAAGTACCTCTTTATCTTTTCCATAGGGTGCACTTCAGTTCCTACAAAATCCACTTCAGAAATCCCTTCTCGCTGGTCCCTCCTTTTCTCATCTCCCCAAGCCCCATGATTTCCCTGCTCTTTTCTATTTTTCCAGCCTAGCTGTCCCTGTTGCAGTCATGACACTATCCATTGGCCCTGTCCATTGCCCCTGACACTATCATGAGGCTGAGGCATGTTCTTATTGTGTATTTCTAGGGGAAAGCTTTAAATCTTTCCCTTGATTAATAGTGGACCATCTGCAAGACAAACTGACAAGTCCACAATTTTTTTGTGTTATTATGCTAACCAAGTTTCCATCTTTTTATTTTACCAAAGATTGTCTTAATCTCATGGGATATTGGGAGTGAGATATCCCAGTCTCACTATAGAAAAGTAGAGAGAGAGAGGGAGAGAGAAAAAATTCATCACATTCCAGATAGGGGGGTGTCAACTTCTAGATCAATTTCCCCTGGCTAATGTCCTGAGTAGCCCTCAGTATGAAAGCAGTCTTACAGTGGAGATAAAGTAACAGGCAGAGCAGGAGCTGCTATTAATAATTAATTGAGCCTGTCACCTCTAAATATCCAAGGACCAGATACTGAAGAAGAAAGAACCAAGGGTCATATTACCCTGCAAAACCATCTTTACAAGAAGCTCATCTTGACTCAGGTCGAGGTTACTGCCACATTAGAAGTGGGGAAGAAATTTGACCCAAGGTATGAATGGACTAATCTCTGTTAGGGACATCTTAGTAACAAGACATTTTTAAGTATCTGGTGCTGGAGGAGAGGGGATGAAAGGAGTGTTATTGATCCCTGAAAAAGTTATTCTTTTCCTTTATTTGTTTTTAAATTTAATATTATTTAGAAACAGAGTCTTACTCTGTGGCCCAGGCTAGAGTGCGGTGGCACAATCATGGCTCACTGCAGCCTCAGCCTTCTGGGTTAAAGCAATCTTCCTGCCTCAGCATCAGAAGTAGCTGGGGCCACAGGCATGAGCCACCACACTCAAGTAACTGTTTTAGTTTATTATAGAGACTGGATCTTGCAATGTTGCCCAGGCTGGTCTTGAACTTCTGGCTTCAAGCAGTCCTCCTGCCTTGGCTTTCTAAGCTCTAGGATTACAGGCATGAGCCACCAGACCCAACTGGAGAAATTTAAAAGTGGAAAAATTCACATTCCTAGCTGAATCTTTATGCGATTGTATGCCCCAAAGTTCATTTCTATGTTCTGCCAAACCTCTAGGAAATTGAGTAGTAAACTTCAAATTGTGCTAAACACCTGGTTCAGACAAACTGAAAATCAGATTATAGCCTACACTCTAAACAAAAATCTCATTTTCTTAGAGCAAATCGGGTTGCTGAAGTAGTTCACACTGATCATTAAAATATCAGGTATAAATATAACAAGGCAATTCACATGCTAATGATCCTATTTTTTAATGAAAATTCAGCAAATCATCAGGCAATATATCTGATTCCAAACCAACTGAAAATCTGGGAAATAAGGTACTTAACAAGAGTACCACAAGCCATTCTCTAATAGTATAAGAACATTTACAGAACTATATGCATAGCTTTAATTCTCCATTTTCACCAGTCATCAACTTTTCTCAGACAGAAAGCTAAACTAAATATGTAACATTTCTAACCGATTTAAGTAAATAATGGATTTAACAATTTAGTTTCATTATTATATTAGTGGACTTCCAAATACTTTCATGGAAAGCTGAAATCATAGCAATAAATTTGTTAAAGATTAGTAGAAAAGCAAGCCATTGGAGTAACTGGCCCGGGGTTGCCCTAGTATTCAGTTCAGCAAAAGCAGAGAAATTACAGTACTTTCTAAGTACATTTCTCAAAAAGAATGAATCTAATGCAATTCCAATTATCTCCTCTACTCTCTCTGTTTATTTCAAAATTCAGTCATTTTCTTCTACATTGCACTGAAATAAATAATTTTTTATTTAATGCAATAAAAAGAGAATTGTTGATAAATGTTATAGGCTTAAGTAAAAATAATATTTGTCAATTATCAAGTATAGAGACTGCAAAGATAAAACTATTCTAAAAGATTTTTTAAAACATTTAAAAAGACGTAGGAAACCAAATGTTTGAGATTCTAAGTCTGATTCTCATAATTTGAAATTAGACAACAAAAAAGAACAAATTATAAATAATAAATAATCATTATAATTTCTTCCTGGCTTTACTACAAAATTTTTTATTACGATTTCCCACACACAGGAGAACTTTCCTGCTAAAAGAGGAGAATCAAGTTCAAGTAGGAAATACCTTTTTAAAATAGAAGAACAAGTACACTGGGACAAAGTTCACAGCAGAAGATAGGCCTCACCATGAGATTTCCCACACCTAATGAAATTACAACTTTTATGGTAAAACAAAACAAAACAAAAAACAGTTCTTATTCTCAGCTTTCCAAAGAAATCATTTTCAAAGCCAGACACTCCCTCTCCCCACCCTCCACCTCCAAGTAGGCCTTGGTGTCTGTTGTTCCCTTCTTTGTGTTCATGTGGACTCAATGTTTAGCTCCCACTGATAACTGAGAGTTTAGCTCACTTATAAGTGAGAACAGGTACTTGGTTTTCTTTTCCCTGACGTTAATCTGTTTATGATTATGGTCTCCAGCTTCATCTATGTTGCTGCAAAGGAAATAAACTCATTCTTTCCTATGGCTATAGTATTCCATGGTGTATATGTACCATACTTTCTTTATCCAGCTTATCACTGATGGGCATTTAGGTTGATTTCGTGCCTTTGCTATTGTGAATAGTGCTGCAATGAACATACATGTGCATTTGTCTTGTGGTAGAAAGACTTATGTTCCTTTGGGTATATACCCAATAATAGGATTCCTAGGTCAAGTGGTACTTCTGTTTTAAGTTCCTTGAGAAATTGCCACACTGCTTTCCACAATGGCTAAAGTAATTTACATGACCACCAGCAGCATATAAGCATTCCCCTTTCTGTGCAACGTTACCAGCATGTCTTATGTTTTTGACTTTTTAATAATAGCTATTCTGACTGGTAGGAGATTGTATCTTATTGTGATTTTGATTTGCATTTCTCCAATGATTAGAGACATTGACTATTTTTTCATGTTTGTTGGTATTTATACATATCTTCTTTTGAAA